GAGCAGGCAATGGGGTACACTGAATTAAGCTGCCTCTTGGGATACCCAAATCCCATATTGGAATGTTAGTTTTGAGTCCCAGCATCTCCACTTTGATCCAGTTTCCTACTAATGAACACCCTGGGAAGAAGCAGATTATGGCTCAAGTGCTTCAGTCCTTGTCAGTCCTGGATGGAGTTCCTGGTTCCCAGCTTTAGCTTGGACAGCCCCCAGCTGTTATAGGCAGGCATCTGGGGAGTAAATCAGTGGATGGAAGATTCTCTCTCTCCCTCTCCCTTTCAAATAAGTGCATAAATATACACATAAATAAAATCTTATAAAAACATTAAAACGTTTATCTTTCCTCAAAGTATAATATCAAAGCAACTACTAAGGAGAACAGATTATGCTTTTATTGAGTTGAGGTTTCAAAAGCTGACCAAAGTGACTGCTAACTGGAATGGCCCACTCTGGGATATCTCACAGGATCAGCCCTACCAGTCCCTAGCAAAAGCTTCTTTGTAACCACAGGGTACCTAGCCAGGGCAGAGGATACCCATCCTGAAGGCAGTACATCAATGAGTTGGCTGATGGTCTCACATCTGTTAGCTGACCGGTGGTCTCACATCTGTACCTAAAGGACTATACTCAGTTTCCTCGCAGATGGTTTAGATGTGAGGCACACCCAAGGAAGTCAGCAGTTGGCGATGGGGCAAAGGCCACTGAAACACAGGGAAAATCATGTGCGAGTAGTCAGAGGGCGTAAGTGATAGAAACTGGAAATTCTGCTGTGCCACCATCACTGTTCCACACTGAGGTCAGACTGATTCTTGTCTCCTACTGCCATTTCTTCTACAGGCATCTTTTACAATAAATGATATTTAAATTACATTTCACTACATACCTGTTTTTTGTAAGTTAAAGGAGTTTAACTAACAACATTGAGTAAAAGATGAGGATAAGGTGTTTTTTTTTTTTGTTTTTTTGTTTTTTTGTTTTTTTTTTTTACAGGCAGAGTTAGACAGTGAGAGAGAGAGAGACGGAGAGAAAGGTCTTTCTTCCTTTGGTTCACCCCCCAAATGGCCCGAGAATAAGTTTTAACAGGCCCAAATGGACATGGGTGTTTGGTGCAGTTGGGACTCCTGCATCCCACATGAAAGAGCTTGGGATGGAATTCCAGCTCTGCCTCCAGTTCCAGCTTCCTTCTAGTGCACACCTGGGGAAGCAGCAGTTGATGGTTCAAGTAATTGTGTCTCCAATGAGACACCTAGACTGGGTTCTTGGCTCCCAGCTTCAGCTTGGTTCAGTTCTAGCCATTGTGGGCATTTGGGGACTGGCTTATCAGATGGGAGATCTGTCTCTGTAGCTCTCTCTCCTCCTTCATAAACAAATAAACAACCAACAAATAAAAGGCCTAACTACTGAAAAGGTTATGGTTCCTTACTGGTTATCTAATTATGTGTGGTTCAAAATAAAAATACAACTGAGACCTATGGTAAGTGTAACTACATTTAAAAGAGTAAGATTATTTTTTGTTTTGATCATTTTATGAAATGTCAAATTCTTTTCAAGAAAGAAAATGTGGTGATTTGCATGTGCACTTAACTTGCCAATGAGGCAGTCCAGCCACAGCCCAGGTGAAGTGGACAGTGGTGTCCCCTTCACAGACTGTAGCACCTAGCCTGTCACAAGTGAGGGTACCATTATGCTAATGGCTTCTGGTGGTAGATAGCATATGAGGAGTCTTTAAAGGTTCATGAAAAATGCATATTTTGAAGAAACTATGCTCAGGTTTCAAAAAATTTTGCAGCAAAATAAGCTTACCTTTTCATTCCATTTTTTCCACAAACTTTTTGAAATGCCCTCAGATAATATGTGGTCTACTGGCTCCTTTCAAGGCTTGCTGACTTATTGAATGGAATTTGCATCATATTCACAAAATTTTCCCAATAATAAAAGTACATTTTGGATATTTATGGATGATTATCAAATGCTGCATTTTTAAAAATTCACTGCTCTTCTTATTTTTCTACAGAAATTATAAGGCTTGGATCGCCTCTTGCAAAAAATAATGTCACCAAGTTCTTCGAATTTTGAATGCATATCTTATAGGAAATTAAAACTATACTCTTTCATTCTAATACACTTACTTCTGATTAAAACCACAGCATTATACACACACACATACTCTGCAAAATCCTTACTCTCTTGACAGAATAAAAAATAAAAGACCTCTTACATCTCAAAATATAAACAGTGTAATACAAAATGGGTAAATAATTTGAACAGACATTTCATCCAGGAAGAACTATGAATGTCAAGTAATCACTCGGACAGACGCTCAGCATCAGTGACTTCCAGAGGAATGCAAATCAAAACACAGTGAGAAACTACTTCACACCCACCAGGGCAGCCATAATCAAAAATATTCACCATGCCAAGTACTGATGTAAAGAAATTAGAGCACTCTTACCTTGCTGGTGAAACATAAAATGATACAGTCACTGTAAAAAAGAGCTTAGCAGTTTCTTAAAAAGTTAAACATAAACTAAGCATAACATTCAGCATCCCTAGGCATGCAACCAATAGAAATGAGAACATGTTTCCCATCAAAGGCACAAATGTCTGAGGCATTTCTGCAAGCAAGCATCTAATGTACTGCTCATAATACCCCCAACCTAGAAAAGATTCCAGTGTCCATCAACTTGTGATTGAATAAATGCAATGAGGTTTGTCCTACAATGAAGTGTACTCAGCAATAGAGATGAAACAAGCTTTAGATACATGCTTAATACAGAATATCTTAAAAATCATGATGCTATATGAAAGAAATCAGATACAAATACTACATACTTTATAATTCCATGTAAATAAAATTTTTAGAAAAACATAAAATGGAAACATAAAGCAGATTCATGGTTGCCTGGGAGGGGCTGGAAGTGGGAATAGGAATTAAATGCAAATTGGTAGGAGATAATTTTTAGAGGTAAAAGAAGTGTTCAAAAATTACATAGTGGTGAGGTTTACATACTTAAATGAACTTTTACGGAAACTCACTGGTATCTGTATTTAAAATGAATCGATGGAGCTGTGGCATAGTAGGTTAGTCCTCCACCTGAGGTGCCAACATCCCATATGGGCATTGGATTCTAGTCCTTGTTGCTTTTCTTCTGATCCAGCTCTCTGCTATGGCTTGGGAAAGAGTAGAAGATGGCCCAAGCGCTTGGGCCCCTGCACTCATGTGGAAGACCTGGAGGAAGTTCCTAGATCCTATCTTCTGATGGGCACAGCTCCAGCCGTTGCGGCCATTTGGAGAGTGAACCAGTGGAGGGAAGACCTTTCTGTGCGTCTTTCCCTCTCATTGTCTGTAAATTTACCTGTCTATTAAATAAATAAAATCTTTTTAAAAAATAAAATGAATTGATCATATGATGCTTAAATTATACCTCAATAAAGCTTTTGAAAGAAAAAGAAATCAAAGAAATGCTTATAAATGTTAACCAAAGCATTCCTCAATTCAATGTGATAGTCCACTGATGTCATCCAGGCTACTAAGAAGCAGTCAATCCTGATCTGAAACATCATCAAATTTTCAAATTGTTTGGTCTCAGGACTCCTTAATACTTCTAAAAACAATCAATGATCCCAAAGGACTTTTCTTTATGTGGCTAATTTCCATCAATATTTATCAGAAATTAAAATGGAGAATCTAAGACTTTTCATTGATTAAATTTAAAACAACAACCATAAGCCAATCATGTTAATAAACAGAATATGTCTTTAACAACAACTGTCATCATAAAAATTAAAAGAAAGAAGAAGGGCAGGAGGAAGGAGGGTGAGAGCATAGGCAGGAGGGATGGCAGGGTGAGAAGTATCACTATGCTCCCAAGTCTGTAAACATGAGATACATGGCATTTGTTCACTTTACATAGATGAGAAAAACTGTGTCCCCAAAGAAATGAAAATGTAGTGAGAACTGTGGCATTTTTTACACATCTTTTTAGTACCTGGCATAATAGCATATACATTCTCATAACTGCTCCTGTATTCAATCTGTTGCAATATCACGTATGTGGACAACTCCACCATCCACTCACAACAGTATCAGAGAGAAAAAGGCAAACAACCTCTTGGTACTGTGAGGAAGGTAGTTCTGATCTGACAGAGCCCAGGAGAGGTTGTGGGGGGTCCCTAGGGGTCCTCAAGCGACCCTTTGAGAAATGTCAGTCTAGACCGTGCTGTGAGACTGGCTGAGCTTCATGGTAGTGAGACTGTGTCATCCCGGCTGTCACTAATGTAGACGCTTTGGGAGCCTTTTGGGGAAACAGGATCAAAACACTTCCTGCATATAGTTTGCAAAGCATTTTGCTTGCTGCATTTTTTTAGAGCTGGTTACAATTTATTTAAATGGGATATAGCTCCTTGCAGAATTTCAAGGACTGCTCATGGTTTATCAGCAAATAGAATAAGTAAGACATTACAGTCTATTGTTCAAACGCCAGACTGCTCTACAATGCCATTGTCTCCAGCTTCTATTCTTACTTCTGGTTCAGAAGTTTCTGTCTCACATCCTTCCTAGATTTCCCCATCTCTGTGATTACAAAGGATTTCTCTTAGTTTCTGTATTTGCTTTTAAGACCGTAAAGATGTTCTTAAATTTTTCTAAAATAAAACTAGGCCCTCCCTAGTCTTGAAATAATTGTGCTAATTTTAATATCTGAAAAATAATTATTTACTGATCATGTTAGAATATTTTAATTTTAGTTGAATATTTCTTCTATGCTTTGTAATTAAAGAATAATAATGTGTTCAGTAAATTTATGTCTTACATCCTGAAATGGCTCATGATGCTGAAAACAGGCCAGCTCATTGAAAATATCTTCAAAGGTTTGGCCCTCTTTGTACTTCCCTGGCAACATGATTTAAAACTCAACAAAAATCTGTACATATAAAACTTGACCTCAGAAACCACAGTTTAAGTATTTACCTTATTCAGAAGCAACAGTTTAAGTACTTACCTTATAATATCTCCTTCAAGAGCAATCACTCTCTTAATGATTTTCTGTTCTGGGTTTTTAGGAGACCTAGAATAGTAAGATAAGATTATATAATCAGTTATGTCTCTGTTGATTTAAGTAAGTGACAAGAAATTCTACAACAAAACAGGCTACATTAGAGCCATTACAGAAGGCTTTGCACGAATGACATGTCATCAATCCCACTTAGGTTCCAGTGATACAAAGTTACTATTGAAGGTATTCTCATTGTAAACCTTTAGGATGAAAAAAGACACACTGAAACTATACACACACACACACACACACACACACACAAATAGGGAGCTATAGAGTTTTATTATTAAGAAATAAGAGTGGGAGAGACGATATGGGGGGGAAGCCATTGTAATCCATAAGCCGTACTTTGGAAATTTATATTCATTAAATAAATGTTAAAAAAAAATAAGGTTTATATTAAATTACTATTGTTATTAAAGATAAGAACTTATAAGAAAGAGGACTCATACATAAAAAAATGACTAGGGGCCGGCGCCGTGGCGCAGTAGGTTAATCCTCCACCTGTGGCACCGGCATCCCATATGGGCTCTGGTTCTAGTCCCGGCTGTTCCTCTTCCAATCCAGCTCTCTGCTATGGCCTGGGAAAGCAGTAGAAGATAGCCCAAGTGCTTGAGCCCCTACACCGATGTGGGAAGACAGGGAAAAAGCTCCTGGCTCCTGGCTTTGGATGGGTGCAGCTCTGGCCATTGCGGCCATTTGGGGAGTGAACCAATGGAAGGAAGAACTTTCTCTCGTCTCTTCCTCTCACTGTCTGTAACTCTACCCCTCAAATAAATAAATAAAATTTTTTTAAAAAAGAAAATGACTAGATATTTAAAATGATAATACATTTAAATTTTTATTTCACTTAAAATGAACAGATGAGTTTGATTTAAACTCTCAGGAAAACACTGAAGACAAAATAGTATGTTTTAAAAAAATTTGGAGAATTTTCTTAAACTACATTTAGGTTCAGCTCTTTGGTGATTATGAAATTCTAAATACTAAAACAGAGCTATGACAATGAAAAGAACCTGACAGGTTCTGAAATACTTCTTGCAGACACTGTTTATTTTAAGCTACCTGATTTTTTTTAACATTTATTTAATGAATATAAATTTCCAAAGTACAGTTGATGGATTACAGTGGCTTCCCCGCCCCCTTAACTTCCCTCCAACCTGCAACCCTCCCATCTCCGCTCCCTCTCCCATTCCATTCACATCAAGATTCATTTTCAATTATCTTTATATACAGAAGATCAGTTTAGCATATATTAAGTAAAGCTTTCAACAGTTTGCACCCACACAGAAACACAAAGTGTAAAATACTGTTTGAGTACTAGCTATAGCATTAAATCACAATGTACAGCACATTTATGACAGAGATCCTACATGAGGAGTAAGTGCACAGTGACTCCTGTTGTTGACTTAACAAATTGACACTCTCTTGTTTATGGCATCATTAATCACCCAAGGCTCTTGTCATGAGTTGCCAAGCCTAAGGAGGCCTTTTGAGTTCACCGACTCTGATCATATTTAGACAAGGTCCTAGTCAAAGTGGAAGTGCTCTTCTCCCTTCAGAGAAAGGTACCTCCTTCTTTGATGACCTGTTCTTTCCATTGGGATCTCACTCGCAGAGATTTTTTTTTTTCCAGAGTGTCTTAGCTTTCCATGCCTAAAATACTCTCATGGGCTTTTCAGCCGGATCTGAAAGCCTTAAAGGCTGATTCTGAGGCCAGAGTGCTGTTTAGGAGATCTGCCATTCTATGAGTCTGCTGTGTATCTTGCTTCCCATGTTGGATCGTTTTTTCCCTTTTTAATTCTATAGGTTAGTATTTTCAGACACTAGTCTTGTTTACATGATCCCTTTTACTCTTAGTCCTATCATTATGATCAATTGTGAACTGAAACTGATCACCTAGACTAGTGAGATGGCATTGGTACATGCCACCTTGATGGGATTGAATTGGAATCCCCTGGCACATTTCTAACTCTACCATTTGGGGCAAGTCCGATTGAGCATGTTCCAAACTGTACATCTCCTCCCTCTCTTATTCCCACTCTTATATTTAATAGGGATCACTTTTTAGTTAAGTTTCAACACTTAAGAATAATTGTGTATTAATTACAGAATTCAACCAATAGTATTAAGTAGAATATAGTTAAAAGTTTACTGGAAGAACAATTGTTTACTCTAAATAAACTCTTGCCTCTCCTGGAATACACAGCCTGTGTGGTTCCTTCCCATAATGTAATGGGCTTTACTATGGGGTCAAGAACATATGGACAAGTGATGATACATCACTTCTGATCTGACACTTCCACCTTGGGCTCTTCCTCCTCTCACATCCTGCCAGTCCCTCATTCACTCTCCTCCTTGTTTCTCTTCCCCTCTTTTCCTCTCAGACCCGTCTCCTGGATTACTCCCTCTGTGGGGAGCTAGAATCTCTCCCAGGTAGGAATTAAGGCTTGCTAACAGTCTGGGGAGACCCTCCGAAGCAGATCCTCGACTTAGTTAGGTTTTTATATGCTAGTTCAGGCCAGCAGCTTACTGGCAACCTCATGAAGCACCATGAACCCAACCAACCAGCTGAGTTGCTTCTGGCTTCCTGGACCTGAAGAAATGTGTGAGGTCATAAATGTACTAGATAGCAGGGTAATTTGTAATGCAGCAACAGTAGATCTCTAGTAATATGGCTTATTTCCTGCCTATAGCATTTTAAGTATTTTGAGTTAACAGACTTGTTTCAAGGACCATCTCATACATCATATAAATGATCATTTAATACATATCTGAAAATTATGGATGGATAAGAATATTTTCAATTCAAGTCACATTTTGAACTGAACTACTTTTTTAAAGGGAATGTAAATGCACAAAATGGAAAAGATCAAATATATTCAAAACATAAACTTCATCAAAGAAAATATGCAGTTTCCATAAGATTTATAATTTACAGGACATTTTACAGAGAAAATGAAATTTTATAAAGTAGTTGCACCTACATGTGACAATAAGTTTTACCATTTTTCACTAACTTCATTATGAGTATGCTTTACTTTAAAATGAAATTGAATCAGAGTTTTGACTGGCCTCTGCCTTCATTAAATTATGTAAACATTACATTTCTATAATTTTATTTTCATTAATATATAGCTATAATTAGAAGGGCTCTGGTTACATGCAATCTAACGGAATTTGGGTCCTCTGTACTGGGCCACTTACAGATATTTTAGAAGATGCCCCCCCACAATTCTGTCTATGAAATTACTGGAAATATGTAAAACAATATGCAGTCTCAGCAGTCACCAAGGAATTGCATCTTAAAACAATGGGATGTTACAACTTCTTTATACCATACTGACAGAGATGTACTAATACAAATAAAATGCTGTTGGGCATTGCCTAAAACCTCCATTACAATATGGCGCCTGGCGGATGTTCGAGGGGCATGTCTGCGGCTGCCAGGGTTAAGCTACCGATGGGGACAGGTCTGCTTTGGTTCCGGACACGTGGACAGTGCGTGATCCCTATACTTTACTTAAGGTGCCCCTGTGCGTGGTCCACCCATGCCTGTATGACCTTTTCTCTGACTGGCTCCCCTACTGCACATGTCCTTCGTAAGCTTTATAAGCCTGTACGCTTCCTCAATAAAGCGGTTCCTGCTTCGACAGAACTCACGGGTGCTTGTGGTGTGTTCATCACCCGTCGACCTTACCCTTCCCGTTCGCCTTGTTGGGGAGTGTCTGTACTGGCCTGTGCTGGTCAGGAGCCAGCCTCGGACTTGAGACTCCGACAAAATGCTGCTAAGGGTTTGTTTGCATTCTACATAAACTGTGGGGTTATGTAACATACCTTTCTGCTAGGTAGTCTCAACATTCCATTAATGTGACAATTACACTTCTAGGAAATTATACTAACGAAGTGACTATGAATGTATGTAACATTTTAGCTACATGGACATTTAAGACAGTGTTGTCTATTTTAAAAATAAGAAAAAAACATTTAATAAGAGGAGAGTGGTTAAATAAATGATGGTCTTTCCACATAATAAAATACTTAAGAGTCACAAAAGACGATGTTCTATAAGAATATTTAATGATAGGGAAATATCAACAGAATATGTGGATTGAACACGTAAGTCGGAAAGTACTATTTGTACCTTGACTTCACATCCATAATTTAGAAAGAAAAACGCACATCCAATTTTACTGGGGAGGGTTCAGGAAGAATTTACAATAGAAGGGAAATAAATTCTCTGTCTTAAAAGCTTTCATGGCTAGATTTTAGTCCAGATTACTGGGATGCCTATTATCCAAAGACAACTGTGTGAGTCAGATGATATTACTTGAGAAGAAATGCTACGAAGCAAGGCTTGGACCTGAATTAATAACCAAGTTTCCACCTAATAGTGAGTTGAGGTTAACATTAATGAAATAATATGGAAAGCAATTGCTATTAGCCCTAAAAAAATTTATGCCAACAATCTTTAAGCTTTTCAGATGCTAGAAAAGTATTTTATGTTTAAAATAATCTATTATTTAAGATCAGGAGGCAAAATAGAATATGCAAAGTGAGCTATCTATATAATTAAAGTCTTATGAATTACTACTTCAAACATATCTGTAAATTTTAATGTAGTATTAAACTCATGAATATAATCAAATAATTCAAAAACTTTAAAAAGCTATTACTAACATTAATTCCATTACTACTTAAAATCTATATCTGTATTTTAATCATTAGGCTGTTGAATGCATTACTTTGATGTAAGTAGAAGTACTAGCAGAGTTATTACAGATTTACATCATGGAAGTTATTAAATTTCCCTTTGTTTTAAATTTCTTGGCCACTTACCCATCTTCGAGAAAATGTGAAGAATAAAAAGTGAAGGATTATGCCTTACTTTAGGAACGCAATGTAATACTGCCCAATAAATATTCAAATTTGCATTTAAAATTGTAGTTCTAGCGTTTTTCACAAAAAGCAATGTTTAAACAACATTTATTTCTGGATTGTAAATATTCTGT